AGGCTGAGAATAATGAAAGTGAATATGAGTTCTTTATTACTGATGTAGATGGTCCACCTATACTTGGTTTGGAAGCATGTAGTGATCTTGGTCTTGTTAAACGTGGTAACCAAATGATATGCAATGAATCTATTGATGGTAAAAATGTGCATGTACTAACTAAAGATTCTTTACTTAAAGAATATCAGGATGTTTTCACAGGCTTAGGTAAATATGAAGAGCCATATGATATACAGTTGAAGGACGATGCATCTCCAGTGGTTCATCCTCCCCTCAGAGTACCACTCAGTTTGCATACCAAGTTGAAGAAGAAGCTTGATGACATGGAGAAGAGAGGTGTCATTAGAAAAGTTGATAAACCGACAGATTGGGTTAACAGCTTGGTAATAGTAGAGAAACGAGATGGATCATTGATGTTGTGTTTGGATCCACGTGACTTGAATAAGGCGATTAAACGCGAGCATCATATGATACCAACTGGTATGGATGTGGTGAGTCAACTATCAGGTAATACACTTTTTACCGTGTTTGATCAGAAAGATGCATATTGGCAAATACCACTTACTGAGGCTAGTGCCGACATCTGTACTTTTAATACACCCTTTGGCAGGTACAGCTTCTTCAGAATGCCGTTTGGTATCTGCAGTGCAAGTGAAGTATTGCAGAAAAGAAACCAACAGATATTTGGCCATATTCCTAATGTACACATTATTTCTGATGATATGATTATTGCTACAGAGAATGAAGCGGAACATGATGTTACAATTTATGTATATTTACGGAAATGATTTATTTATGTATATTTACGGAAATGATTTATTTATGTATATTTACGGAAATGATTTATTTATGTATATTTACGGAAATGATTTATTTATGTATATTTACGGAAATGATTTATTTATGTATATTTACGGAAATGATTTATTTATGTATATTTACGGAAATGATTTATTTATGTATATTTACGGAAATGATTTATTTATGTATATTTACGGAAATGATTTATTTATGTATATTTACGGAAATGATTTATTTATGTATATTTACGGAAATGATTTATTTATGTATATTTACGGAAATGATTTATTTATGTATATTTACGGAAATGATTTATTTATGTATATTTACGGAAATGATTTATTTATGTATATTTACGGAAATGATTTATTTATGTATATTTACGGAAATGATTTATTTATGTATATTTACGGAAATGATTTATTTATGTATATTTACGGAAATGATTTATTTATGTATATTTACGGAAATGATTTATTTATGTATATTTACGGAAATGATTTATTTATGTATATTTACGGAAATGATTTATTTATGTATATTTACGGAAATGATTTATTTATGTATATTTACGGAAATGATTTATTTATGTATATTTACGGAAATGATTTATTTATGTATATTTACGGAAATGATTTATTTATGTATATTTACGGAAATGATTTATTTATGTATATTTACGGAAATGATTTATTTATGTATATTTACGGAAATGATTTATTTATGTATATTTACGGAAATGATTTATTTATGTATATTTACGGAAATGATTTATTTATGTATATTTACGGAAATGATTTATTTATGTATATTTACGGAAATGATTTATTTATGTATATTTACGGAAATGATTTATTTATGTATATTTACGGAAATGATTTATTTATGTATATTTACGGAAATGATTTATTTATGTATATTTACGGAAATGATTTATTTATGTATATTTACGGAAATGATTTATTTATGTATATTTACGGAAATGATTTATTTATGTATATTTACGGAAATGATTTATTTATGTATATTTACGGAAATGATTTATTTATGTATATTTACGGAAATGATTTATTTATGTATATTTACGGAAATGATTTATTTATGTATATTTACGGAAATGATTTATTTATGTATATTTACGGAAATGATTTATTTATGTATATTTACGGAAATGATTTATTTATGTATATTTACGGAAATGATTTATTTATGTATATTTACGGAAATGATTTATTTATGTATATTTACGGAAATGATTTATTTATGTATATTTACGGAAATGATTTATTTATGTATATTTACGGAAATGATTTATTTATGTATATTTACGGAAATGATTTATTTATGTATATTTACGGAAATGATTTATTTATGTATATTTACGGAAATGATTTATTTATGTATATTTACGGAAATGATTTATTTATGTATATTTACGGAAATGATTTATTTATGTATATTTACGGAAATGATTTATTTATGTATATTTACGGAAATGATTTATTTATGTATATTTACGGAAATGATTTATTTATGTATATTTACGGAAATGATTTATTTATGTATATTTACGGAAATGATTTATTTATGTATATTTACGGAAATGATTTATTTATGTATATTTACGGAAATGATTTATTTATGTATATTTACGGAAATGATTTATTTATGTATATTTACGGAAATGATTTATTTATGTATATTTACGGAAATGATTTATTTATGTATATTTACGGAAATGATTTATTTATGTATATTTACGGAAATGATTTATTTATGTATATTTACGGAAATGATTTATTTATGTATATTTACGGAAATGATTTATTTATGTATATTTACGGAAATGATTTATTTATGTATATTTACGGAAATGATTTATTTATGTATATTTACGGAAATGATTTATTTATGTATATTTACGGAAATGATTTATTTATGTATATTTACGGAAATGATTTATTTATGTATATTTACGGAAATGATTTATTTATGTTTGAACAAGAAATTTAAAGCTTGATACGTTTTAAAATTTTGTTTTTGATGTAAATTAATTTTACCAAAGAAAATACTAATTATGAAACTTAATATTCTGTTTAAACGAAGTGTTTGAAAATTATATTTGAAACATATGTATAATACGTTAGAAATAATTTCTAGAAGATCTTATATTAATTTTATGTTTATTAAATAATTGTTTAATTATTCTGAACCGTTTATTTTATGGTTAAAATATTTTTCGGGAAAAGGAAGATGTCACACTTTGTGTTTCTATTATGTTAATCATCTTATTTATATGCTAATTACTTAATGCTTGGTTTGTGCTGTACGGTACTGGAATAAAGGCAGTTGAATGAATGAACCCAATGTGGAATATCGTGTTTCACTCCAAAACAAAACAGCTGGTGCAATTATCCACAAATTAAAGTCCATCTTTGCAAGACATGGGATCATTCAAGAGCGGTGCTGTGAATGTAATGAAGTGGATGTAAAGGGCTATACAGCTTGGTCTCCGATAGATAACTTTGAATGGTCTCGTGGCTACACAGAGAGATTTGGTCTTCATTACATTGACTTTGATAGCACCGAGAAGACTCGTATTCCCAAAGACTCGGCAGCTTTCTACGCTCAAGTAATTGCAGACAATGGGTTTCCAGCATTTAGTGTGCAGTCTGGATTTAATGCAGGATTTAGAACCATACTTTTAGCCATTTGCATAGTTTTTTCAATTATATAATTTTTCGCAACATAAAAAATGATACGATTGTATGCAACATTCAAGAGCGGTGCTGTTTAATGTTGTTTTGTCTGCTACAGGCATCTACATTTAAGATGATTCCACCATTTGCATTGAATTTTTATGAAATGGAAATAAATGTTCTTTAAATTACTATATAGTGCTAAAATGATACCATATACTGTATTGTACATAAACTATTAGGAGTTGGGAGTGAAGCTGTATAGATTGGGGGTTAGGTTGCTTGTTTTCTAATCCCTAAGATTCTAATGAGGCTTAGTATTTTTAGAGCACTACACATGTGCTTGTTGTCTCTGCACGGGATTGCTATACAAAACTGTGATTAATATTAGTATTGGCAGTCCTTAGCCAATATGCCTAAATAAATAAAATACATAAATACTAAACTTTCACTGATTGTTGCTACTATTTTAGTACAGTACTCATATTACTTGCACAATAATAAATGAGAAAAAAAAACACGATTGCTTTGTTAATGAATATAAATATATTCCAAAAGTTTATTTTTTATATTTAATAAAACCTACACTTTTTCAGTTTTATGCTGTAAAAAAAACACAAGTATATTTATAATGAAAAAGTATGTATGAAAAGGACTTGTGTTCAGTTTTAGTATAAAGAACATACCTATTAATCATATTTCGTAGGACTATTTATGTGTGTAGAACACTCCGAAACGTTTGCGTAATATGTTATACAATTAATTTTACTATTAACATACTTAATGTTTACTTGGTACCATGCATTTTCCTATACCATTCTGGATTTAGAACTATTAATGGGAAACCAAATAAACAGTTTATCTGAATAAAACTCATCTTACAATTCTAACACCATCAAATGATTTTTATTCTTGTGAATGTATACTGTAAATTTTGTTATGGTATAGCAATAAATATTACAAACAATGAAGTGACACTTTGTATTAATACCCATTCTACGAATCCAGAAGTCGTTTGGCTGGGGTGGTGCGTGTGACAATTAAGCACCTGAGGTCTGAAGGGGCAACACATATGATTGAGAAAGGAAGGTTTTACATTAGTGTGTTTAATGTCAATTGTATTGTGGGTTCGGCTGTAGTCACAATTGCACTAGAGTTTTTCTTGTAAATCTAACATAGGCACTGGTTAGTTACAATAATTAGTCCAGAGCGAACAACCCAGAAAATTTACTTCACAGGAAAACGTACTGAGACAAGCGGTTAGTTTAACCAAGTGGATTGTGCCCAGTAAAACTGACCAGGTTAATTTTACAAAACCAAAAAGTCCAATGCGAACACGCATCTCGGTTACACTTACCCAGTTTTTGGAGCGCTACTTATTGGAGATGTCAGGGATTAGTGGGCTCAATAGTTGATTTTCATGGCTCGGTTAGTTTTACCATTTCTCGCAGTAGAACTAACCACTCAAAAAATCGAAGTGCAGACAGCGGTAAGAATTACACATTGGAGTTTTACTAACGATTTAGGTAAAATCTGTTTTTCAGAGCAGTGTGATATTGCTGCTTATGGACGGCCCATGGAAGTTTTAATCTCTTATCTAAATAAGGTAAAGTGGAAAGGAGGGGGGGGGGCGGGGAACAACTGCTCCTTTTACCACCTCATGTATCTGCCCCCGATATGTCTTGTTTGAAATCCATAACCTTAATGTTCTCTGTCACTATCTTCCTTTGTATACACTGTCTTCTATTAGCTTTCTTCCACATCATATTTATCTCACCCATTCCATCTTAGGATTTTGATAACTTCCTTTCCACTGACGATCTGTAGAATGCAAAGATCTGTTCTGATGCCAGTTTACATGTAGCTAGACACTTATTGTACTGCAAAAAATAGAAATGCAGGTCAATAAAGTGCTACTACAACTATTAAAACAATCTTACAAATTAAGATTGTGCATGGAATCTTTTTAACATGCTATGTGCTCTACAGACAATTACCATGACTTTACTTATAACTTCATAGAGGGTACACTGGAATCAACATGTGTAACACAATGTGAACTCTAAAGAAAATATTCATTTACTATGAACTTACTAATTTCATAGAAACATACTCGAACTGATATGTGTTTAAAATTCAGTGCACTCAAAAACTAGTGTCTGTTGTATAGAATTTTTGAAGTATAGCCTCATTTTATAAAAATGTGAGGTACCTAAAATATACTGACCTGTTCAATTGAGCATGATCCCGACAGTGACACTGTGACTATGTTTTGTTTGTGACTATCGAAGGCACAGGTGATGACAGACAATGCATCCTGTTGAGAAAAATTAATGATATTTGACTGTTATTCATTCATGATTTTCTGTAGACCTTAATGGAAAGCTCTATCTAATAATTCAATTCATTTTATGAAAATTTTTAGACTTAATTGCACAAGGTTACAGTTGATAAACTTTCAAACTTAAACAAAAAAATTACTGAATGAAAAGACAGAACAGTATGGTACTCTTTAAACAGTATTATGCATATCACACCTTGCACTGTTTATTTGTTAGATCAAGAATTATTGTTCCTTTCTTATCAAGAGCTGATGTGATAGAGCAGACAAGATATTTCATTGGAATGCCAGCATCCATTAGAGCCAAGCATGAAGCATTTATACTACAGGACAAAAGCTGTAGACAGCGTTATAGGAAACTACTGTTAAGCAATATGATACAGTATTATTTTAACAGGCATTAAAAAGAAGAGTTTCAAAAAATCTGAGGAATTGGCCACATCCTTTTGAATTTATTTTATTATAACAAAGATGTCGTACACCATGATACCTATTGTAATTAATAATCAGTGACGTAGAAAAGTATTTTTCATTGGGGGGGGGGATGATTGGCGTGTTAGCCAGTGTCGTAACAGGCGCGGGTGGGGGGGAAGAACTGCCCCTCCTCTGATGGTTTTTACCGGGCTGACCAAGCTGTCGTACCGGGCTGGGTAATAAGAAAAAAGAAAGAGGGGAGAGGGAGGGAAATAAAAAGAAAAAGAAAAAGAGAAGAGAAAAATAAAGACAAGAATAAAAGGAAGATATCATAATGAGCAGACTCACAATATCCTGCACCCCCTTTTCCACTTCATAAACTGTCATGACTCCTTTGATCTATGCTGCCCGATGGCGTAACAACTAGGGGACAAGGGGAAAATATCTATCTTTGAAAAATCTTCCCCACCCCTTTATGCCCTTTTCATCCCTGAAAGTGCCAAAACCTCAAATTTCGCATTTCTTGTTGACATGGGCCAATTTCCTCAAACATTACACATTTTAGGGAGTTTCGATCAATTCCAACGAAATTAGAATTAAAAACACCGGGGGACAAGGGGAGAATATCCATCTTTGGAAAATCTTTCCCCACCCCTTGACAAATGCATCCTCTGAAAGTGCCTAAAATTCTCAAATCCTTTGCGTGCATTTCTTGTTACGGTAGAACAATTTCCTCTATAAATTGCACATTTTAGGGAGTTTTCATCAATTCCGACGAAATTAGAATTAAAAACACAAAACGCGCATTTTTAGGGCTTTTTTAAGTTTATCTTTTTAAGTTACCGCAATCAAAAACACATAATAGTTCAAACTCAATAAAGACAAATTTAAGATAGATCGTTTTAATCTAAAAGAAAGGCCTCAATGTGTATTGATGGTGAAAGAATATGTTTGTAATAAATAAAACCATGAGGAAAATACTTATATTTAGTTTCAAACACACGTGTATGGCCTATATTATAAATAAGATAAGACCTATGTCGTATTGTTTTCTATATGGGGAGTGGGGTTGGGTGGGTGTGGTAAATTACTAACCGGGAAAATAAATACCCAAGACCTCTGTTACGCGCCTGGTGTTAGCACCAACGTGTGCCCTTGTGCGGACAGAGGATGTGACCCCCTCTGAAGCTGGAAACCTTGTTTTCGCAAAATAAATTGATGCAATTTGCTATTATAGGCCTAATCAATAAATTCCTCATCAACCGATATAACCTTAAACATTCTTGGAATTTAAATAGCATTACTGATGTCTTACACACCCTTCAGAGTGAAATGTGGCTCTCTTTGCAAGCACATCTAACATCTAAGGGAAGAAAAGCTTAGATTGGTACCAAATAAAATAGAAAATGTTTCTTCACCTACAAGCATTGCAAATTCTTTCAACAAATATTTTGTTTCCGTCTTTAATCCACATATGCCTTCCACCTCACACCCTGCACCGTGTGACTTCCCTATTCCTGAATTGTCATCTATTGACTTTAACGTCGATGACATTATTACGGCTTCTTTTGATTTCATTTTTTTGCAAGGTTCTTTTGGGTTATGTCGACTGTACAAGTATTTCTAACTCTATCCAAATCTGCACTTTTTTACCTCGCTACAGTGAAACTCTCTCCTTCAAACACCTTAAAGCTAATCATGATTTTCTCCACAAATCTGCAATTCACGCTTTCCCTCGTCTTTGGGAAGACCTTCCTAATGATCTTAAGAATTCTCTCGTCCTTGATTCCCTTCCCATATTTATTTCTAGACTCAAATCACACTTGTATACACAACATCCCTCATCGGAATAAAAATGATCTCATAACTGTAATAATCTTGTTGCTATGGTGGTTATTGTAATTGGAACTACTATAGCAACAATAACAACAACAATAATCGTAATAATTATAATAATGATAATAATAATGATAATAATAATAACTATTATAATATTAATAATATGATAATGATGATGGTTATTATTTTTGTTATGATTGTTATAATGAAGATAATGGTAATTGTAGTTATAATGGTACAAATGGTGATAATAATAATAATAATAATAATAATAATAATAATAATAATAATAATTATAATTATAAATAATAAAATAATAAAATAATAATGGGAATTTTGCTGTAATGATGGTAATAATAACAATAGGTTTTGTAGAATAATTATAATTATTATTGTTATTACTGTACTTAAATGGTGATTTTGATGACCTTGTTTTTTGCTTTTAATGACTATTTTTGCATTTATTCTGTTATTTATTTATTTTCTCTTTTTTTATTTCTTGCTTGCTTTTTGCTTGATGTTGTGATGTGTTGTCTATTATATTTTATCTTACATTTTAATGATGTTTTTTTTTATACTGGATGGGAGTGGTTCTCAAACAATTGTTATAGTAATTAAGTTTACTTTAGAGACCAGGCCCTCCCATCCAGATTATTCTATTGTGCAATAAAAGAATAAGAATAAGAATAAGAATTTTGTTATCAACACTAATACATTATGCTAATTTTCATCTTTGTAAGCGCATAAGACAGTGCAAATTATTTCTGTGACAGTCTTTTGAAGTGTGTAAAGCTCCATTTTATCCCATACATAGTCAAAATATTGGGGGG